ACAGAGGTGGATGTGTAATCAAACAAGAATGATTGCTAATAAGAGAGATTTAAGTGATAAGAACACAGGACACAGGTAAAGCTAGAAGTAAAACAAAACACACGTTCTAGTGACTAGAAGCGAACTTCAGCAAGTTACGCTCTTTGTCTAAGTAGGTTTCTCACCTATAGTCAGTTTCACCAACTCCTGATTTTCAGGCCAAGAGAATCCACTTTTCGGGAGCCCAAAGGGGGCTGCTCCCCCTTTGTCCCTTAGGTCAGTGTTTCTCAAACTGTGCTCTGCGGCGCCCCAGGGCTGCGTGAGACATCTCCAGGGGCTCCGCAAGGCTGACAAACTGGAAACATCGATAGGTACAACACACACAATCAGTGGACCGCTGGGGCTCCGCATAAATTTTTACACATATAAAGGGCTCCGGAGCTCAAAAAGTTTGAGAACTGCTGCCTTAGGTGAGGGATGCCACATGGCTTTTTCCTTTGGTTATATTGGTTACACACTCCCCTGCCCCGCCCCTTTCTGCTTGCACACTCTGCCCCAAAGCCCCAGATCCCTCCCCCCAGAATCGGTGCCTCTGAGCCCCAAAGCCCCAGATCCCTCCCCCCAGAATCGGTGCCTCTGAGCCCCAAAGCCCCAGATCCCTCCCCCCAGAATCGGTGCCTCTGAGCCCCAAAGCCCCAGATCCCTCCCCCCAGAATCGGTGCCTCTGAGCCCCAAAGCCCCAGATCCCTCCCCCCAGAATCGGTGCCTCTGAGCCCCAAAGCCCCAGATCCCTCCCCCCAGAATCGGTGCCTCTGAGCCCCAAAGCCCCAGATCCCTCCCCCCAGAATCGGTGCCTCTGAGCCCCAAAGCCCCAGATCCCTCCCCCCAGAATCGGTGCCTCTGAGCCCCAAAGCCCCAGATCCCTCCCCCCAGAATCGGTGCCTCTGAGCCCCAAAGCCCCAGATCCCTCCCCCCAGAATCGGTGCCTCTGAGCCCCAAAGCCCCAGATCCCTCCCCCCAGAATCGGTGCCTCTGAGCCCCAAAGCCCCAGATCCCTCCCCCCAGAATCGGTGCCTCTGAGCCCCAAAGCCCCAGATCCCTCCCCCCAGAATCGGTGCCTCTGAGCCCCAAAGCCCCAGATCCCTCCCCCCAGAATCGGTGCCTCTGAGCCCCAAAGCCCCAGATCCCTCCCCCCAGAATCGGTGCCTCTGAGCCCCAAAGCCCCAGATCCCTCCCCCCAGAATCGGTGCCTCTGAGCCCCAAAGCCCCAGATCCCTCCCCCCAGAATCGGTGCCTCTGAGCCCCAAAGCCCCAGATCCCTCCCCCCAGAATCGGTGCCTCTGAGCCCCAAAGCCCCAGATCCCTCCCCCCAGAATCGGTGCCTCTGAGCCCCAAAGCCCCAGATCCCTCCCCCCAGAATCGGTGCCTCTGAGCCCCAAAGCCCCAGATCCCTCCCCCCAGAATCGGTGCCTCTGAGCCCCAAAGCCCCAGATCCCTCCCCCCAGAATCGGTGCCTCTGAGCCCCAAAGCCCCAGATCCCTCCCCCCAGAATCGGTGCCTCTGAGCCCCAAAGCCCCAGATCCCTCCCCCCAGAATCGGTGCCTCTGAGCCCCAAAGCCCCAGATCCCTCCCCCCAGAATCGGTGCCTCTGAGCCCCAAAGCCCCAGATCCCTCCCCCCAGAATCGGTGCCTCTGAGCCCCAAAGCCCCAGATCCCTCCCCCCAGAATCGGTGCCTCTGAGCCCCAAAGCCCCAGATCCCTCCCCCCAGAATCGGTGCCTCTGAGCCCCAAAGCCCCAGATCCCTCCCCCCAGAATCGGTGCCTCTGAGCCCCAAAGCCCCAGATCCCTCCCCCCAGAATCGGTGCCTCTGAGCCCCAAAGCCCCAGATCCCTCCCCCCAGAATCGGTGCCTCTGAGCCCCAAAGCCCCAGATCCCTCCCCCCAGAATCGGTGCCTCTGAGCCCCAAAGCCCCAGATCCCTCCCCCCAGAATCGGTGCCTCTGAGCCCCAAAGCCCCAGATCCCTCCCCCCAGAATCGGTGCCTCTGAGCCCCAAAGCCCCAGATCCCTCCCCCCAGAATCGGTGCCTCTGAGCCCCAAAGCCCCAGATCCCTCCCCCCAGAATCGGTGCCTCTGAGCCCCAAAGCCCCAGATCCCTCCCCCCAGAATCGGTGCCTCTGAGCCCCAAAGCCCCAGATCCCTCCCCCCAGAATCGGTGCCTCTGAGCCCCAAAGCCCCAGATCCCTCCCCCCAGAATCGGTGCCTCTGAGCCCCAAAGCCCCAGATCCCTCCCCCCAGAATCGGTGCCTCTGAGCCCCAAAGCCCCAGATCCCTCCCCCCAGAATCGGTGCCTCTGAGCCCCAAAGCCCCAGATCCCTCCCCCCAGAATCGGTGCCTCTGAGCCCCAAAGCCCCAGATCCCTCCCCCCAGAATCGGTGCCTCTGAGCCCCAAAGCCCCAGATCCCTCCCCCCAGAATCGGTGCCTCTGAGCCCCAAAGCCCCAGATCCCTCCCCCCAGAATCGGTGCCTCTGAGCCCCAAAGCCCCAGATCCCTCCCCCCAGAATCGGTGCCTCTGAGCCCCAAAGCCCCAGATCCCTCCCCCCAGAATCGGTGCCTCTGAGCCCCAAAGCCCCAGATCCCTCCCCCCAGAATCGGTGCCTCTGAGCCCCAAAGCCCCAGATCCCTCCCCCCAGAATCGGTGCCTCTGAGCCCCAAAGCCCCAGATCCCTCCCCCCAGAATCGGTGCCTCTGAGCCCCAAAGCCCCAGATCCCTCCCCCCAGAATCGGTGCCTCTGAGCCCCAAAGCCCCAGATCCCTCCCCCCAGAATCGGTGCCTCTGAGCCCCAAAGCCCCAGATCCCTCCCCCCAGAATCGGTGCCTCTGAGCCCCAAAGCCCCAGATCCCTCCCCCCAGAATCGGTGCCTCTGAGCCCCAAAGCCCCAGATCCCTCCCCCCAGAATCGGTGCCTCTGAGCCCCAAAGCCCCAGATCCCTCCCCCCAGAATCGGTGCCTCTGAGCCCCAAAGCCCCAGATCCCTCCCCCCAGAATCGGTGCCTCTGAGCCCCAAAGCCCCAGATCCCTCCCCCCAGAATCGGTGCCTCTGAGCCCCAAAGCCCCAGATCCCTCCCCCCAGAATCGGTGCCTCTGAGCCCCAAAGCCCCAGATCCCTCCCCCCAGAATCGGTGCCTCTGAGCCCCAAAGCCCCAGATCCCTCCCCCCAGAATCGGTGCCTCTGAGCCCCAAAGCCCCAGATCCCTCCCCCCAGAATCGGTGCCTCTGAGCCCCAAAGCCCCAGATCCCTCCCCCCAGAATCGGTGCCTCTGAGCCCCAAAGCCCCAGATCCCTCCCCCCAGAATCGGTGCCTCTGAGCCCCAAAGCCCCAGATCCCGTCCCCCCCAGAATCGATGCCTCTGAGCCCAAAGGTCCTGATCCTCCCTTCATGCCCCTCCCCCCATGTCTCTGCGCCCCAGCAGAGCTCTCGGGGTGTTCCTGCTGCATCTCACCTGCTGAGCCTCAGCTTCTCAGGTCTACGTCCCACCTCTCCACACAGCACGCTGCATGCTCAGGCCCCATTGCCTGGGCCAGGGGGTGGCTCTCCCTGTGCCCTGGCTCTGAAGCGGTTTGTTTGCCTGGCATGGGGCTGGCACGTTGTGCTGGCAGAGCGCGCTGATCCATGCTGGCAGCATGCAGCGCTCTCGGGAATCCAGCTTTTCCTACACTGCACCCCGATTGACTCTCACTAGCTCTCAGTGGCTGGCACCGTCCCATGGCAGGCAGCCCTGAGGGGAAGCTTGGTTCTGGAAAGAGCAAATACCTGTGTGGTTTGTTTGACCCCCCAAGGGCTCAGGATGGGGTCTCCTGTGTAGGGGGGTAGCTGGAATGTCCATACTTAGGCCTCTAGGGGGCCAGGTGATTCCAGCTGGCATGCCCAGAAATGCTCCCACCCAAGAGAGGCGCATAGGCAGTCCCGACCCCATGTTTGCATTAGTGGGGGGAGTGAATTCAGCTGCGTTAAGGCCGAAGCCACCGGTGGGGTGCAGTTCGGTGCCTGCTCCCAGCACACCTCACCTGGACAGGGCCACGGGAAAGAGCTCGCCTCGGGGAGCTGGGTGAGACTCAGCCTTTCGTGGCCATCCCCGTGAAGCTGGGTTCTGCGCCTAGGCCCTATGGGATTGCAGTGCACCTCTTGTTCTGGTTTGGGGTTGAATGGGCTTCTCTTGGGAAGGCGGAGAACAGTGAGGACAGTGTTTTGGCAGAGAGGATCCACTCACTTGCCTTTCTCAAAGCCTGGTTGACTTTGTTGGGGCTGATCCTGCATCAAGCAGGCGGTTGGACTTCCTGAGGTCACTTTCAACCTAATCCATGACTCCGCTGTGCTTTTGCTGTCCTGTTACCTCCCAGTCCTCCCTCACTCCTGAGCGTATCTGGCTTTCTAAGTGCCAATCGTAAGCCAAAGAAAAAGTATTAGCAGAACAGATTGGTCTCTCAGTTAATTGATGCCAGGCCCTTTCTCCCTGCCGTATTTCCTCCTCAGCAGATGGACCTTTTTGTCAGTCAGTGCTGAAACAGTGTGATGGCTAAGAGGTGCATTTAGCCATGAGGTGGGACAAAAAGGCAGCGACCCTCAGAGAGGACCTTAAGCCAGGTTCTACTTGCCCTGCCCTTTGGCTGTGTCTACACTGGGCCACTTATTCCGGAAAATCAGCCGCTTTTCCGGAATAAGCTGCGAGCTGTCTACACTGGCCCTTGAATTTCCGGAAAAGCAACGATGCTCTACTGTACAAAATCAGCCGCTATTCCGGAAAAACTATTCTGCTCCTGCTTGGGCATAAGTCCTTATTCCGGAACACTGTTCTGGAAAAGGGCCAGTGTAGACAGCCCAGTAGTCTTTTCCGGAAAAGCGCATCTACATTGGCCACAGACGCTTTTCCGGAAAAAGGGCTTTTCCGGAAAAGCAGACTGCCAATGTAGACGCTCCTTTTCCGGAAATACTGAAAACGGAATAGTATTCCATATTAATCAGTTCCGGAAATTCATGCCAGTGTAGACGTAGCCTTTGTGTTCTCCAATCCAGCTGCCTTACGCTTGCATTTGTTGCCAAGAATGTCGTTGTTACAGCACCAGCACTTGAAGAAATTGAAGAGGAGAACATTTTCCCCAGGGGGACTGGACTGTTTCTCTTTTTTTCCTGTTAAGATTCTACAAGCCTGTAGCAATTGCCCCACATCTGTTTACTTAGCCAACTTGAAATAACTTCCTTTTCTTTTAACCTGCCCTTGGGTTTGGTTGGGGGGTTATTGACACTTGGTTCTTGAAGAGATTCAGATCTGACACACATGTTTTTGATGCAAGAGAAATACCCAGGCAACAGTAATGACAAATTAGATCTAAGGGCAAGAGTGAGCAGCAAGTTAGACAGAACTTTGCAATGGGATGTGTAATCCTGGACTGCAGAGAGGAAGGATGGCCCAGTGGTTAAGGCACTAGTCTAAGACCCTGCTTGGTTACTTCTTCTGTGACCATGGTCATGTCATTGAGTCTCTCCATGACTCAGTTTCCCATCTGTAAGATGAATGTAGGAGCATTTCATCTGTAAGATGAATATAAGAGGATTAACTGCATTAAAAATGGTAAGATCTCATATGCTGTGGTAATGGGGGCCAGATAAATTCCTAAAACAGACATTGCATTTCCAGAGCAGGGAGATAAGAGTTCTTTGCAAGGAGCACCCACCTAGAATATTGCATTCCATTTTGGGCATTGAGTTACCAGAACATTATTGACACTGGAGGGAGTTCAGAGAACAAACAATTGACTTGACCCAGAGGATTTGATTTATAAGGAAATGTTAAGCCAAGGGCTTGAATTCCCAGGGCTTAGTATCCACAATCAGGACTTAATTTCCAGGAGAGCTGGTTCCACTTTTGCTTGCTTAGCTGTCAGATCTGTAAACATGTCCAGCAGCTGCCACTGTGACGCTTACATCTAGATTTTCACAACAGTTCAGCACCCAGCATGCATCTGATCTCTGAGCTCTCGCGAAAAGCTAGCCCTACAAATTCTAGCTGGGTGTTTTATAGTTTGATCAGTGATGACGAAGGAAGGATATAACACTCTGCAAATATTTGCAGACTGTTTAGGCCAAGAAGGAAGGGAATTGGTTTGTGTAGTAACCTGAGGTTTACCTAGAAGTAATGGGATGAAATAATGGAAAAGCTAGGCTGAATATTGGGATATAATCTCCAGTGTGAGAACTTTATTTAACTGTCCAACAGTGAGTAATGGAAAGGGTAAAACCCCATTACTGGGGACTGGACAAGGGTAGCAAATGCCAGACTGGATAGTTAGCTAGGGTTTTTCCACCTCTAGCCTGAATTTGTTAAATCACCAGCTGTAAAAACTCTTTTAGGGAGGCTGCATTGTTTGTTGTCAGTTGCTTTATTTCAAAGCCCCAGTGGGGTGTGAGTCTCCCCTGTTTCCTGGGCCTTTGGAAGGATTGCTTCAGTGCCTACATTATAGGAAGTAGAGGTGGCACTGAATGTTATGCCCCCTGCGTGCAGTGCCCAGGAGAACACAGATCTTTACAAGTGCTGGTTGCTTTACCCTTTCCTACAGTTGCCCTGCGAGGTGGAGGGGGTTAACTGCTTCTGGACCTCCATTTCCCAGCAAGCAGCAGGGATGTTAATTAGGCATCTTGCCTCAGGTTGTTACCAGGTTAGCTGAGGATGATTGTCAGGAGGTGATTAACTTAGCCTGAAATATCAGGTGCAGCTGAGAGCACTGGGTGAACAGCTTTCATTTGGCCGCTGACACGGAGCTGCAGAGAGGCTGCTTTCCCTGCTATTGGAGACTGAAGGGTGTGGACGGACTTCCCCAGGAGCCCATGTGAGTCTTAGTCTGACTAGCTTAATGTGGAGGCGGTAGGCTTTAATTTTGGGAGTACCCTGACCAGCACCACTGATCAGCCCCCGTAGCAGGGCTCTTGCTGGATTCTTGCTACTGAGTGTTAGTGAGGTGGGACTTGTGTATTTTCCAGCAGAAGTTTATTATTTATTGGGGGCTGGGGGTGCATATGCCTGTTAGACCGTGGGTGGGAAGTAGCAGCTCTAGGGATGTGTCTTGTTTTTCTTTTTGCGGTTCAGAACCTCTCTTATTTCTCTTATGCTTCCCTGGGAGCTGCTGGAGATAGTCAGTGGAGGCAAAAGGGGTGGGGAACTGGGATGAGGGGTCCTTGGCTTGGACTGCACAACTGGCAAAGAGGGTGAGGAAAGCTGAGGGAAATACGAGTCGCTGCAGTGCGCGGTCTCACATTGTGTGTTTCCATTGCTGATTAGGTGAGGGGAGGGAGAGTGACTCTCTTGATGCCATGAAGCAATAATTAAGGATAAGATTATGTCATGGATTTGTGACCTTTTCCGCTTCGGCCCTGGGGCAGCGGGGCTGGAGCTGTTGCCAGCAGGGACTTGAGAGCCCCCAGGTATCTGCAGTGGGCTCTTCTCCTCTCCCTCCTGGGGCTCAGTCCTCCTGTCAGCTCCCTTTATTTTTAGTAGAAGTCACAGGCAGGTCACAGACTTCTGTGAATTTTTGTTTATTTTCCACAGCCTCTCCGAGACTTCCAGTAAAAATAATGGTAATGACAAAATCTTAACCTTAGTAACAAGATTTGTGAAGGTGTTTTCCCCTCCTCAATAGAAACTGGCCCCTGTGCGGTACCACTTAGAGGGGACCCTGAACAGAAGGAGACACGGGTCTCTGTTCTCTCATACTATCAAGTTAGTCTTCATGCGAACTGTTCTGCTGCCTTGGCCCTGCCTCGTGTTACTTTTTTCCAGGCCCAAAGAGCAGCCATGAAGTTAAGTCAGAGTAACCTTTATTTTAGATTAAGAGAACAAAAATAACGTCAGCGTCAGAGCAGAGGATGAGGGTTTCCTTCCTCTGTGGCAGTCTGCCCTGAACACACAATAGCTGCCGTTCTCTGGCAACCAGGAATCCCTTAGAAGGTAAGACCCAGATTTCCAAGTATACAGCACCCACAGCTGGGACCAGGGCCTAAAAGGGCTCAGCTCTCAATGATACTGGCAGGGTGTTAGCAGCCAGCATGCTGAGGAGTCCTGTAAATGTAGCTACTCAGAATGGTACCTAGATAGGAGCTGAGATTTCTGGAAAATCTGGTGGTTAAAGGGGCAGTGTACAACCTATCAAGTCAAAACAGTTACAGCCGGATTCACTTCCAGACTGACTCCTTTTCACAGCGTTGCCGTGTGATTGTGGCTAGTTCCTGAACCAGCTGCACATGAGGCCTCTGAAGCTCATCTTACAAGCAGAGCGATGCAGGATTAAAGTCTGGTGGAGTTCTTCCTCCATGCATCCGTAGGAGGTGTCAGGTCCCACACTGTGTGCTTTGCTGCTTCCCTAGTGCCTCTTTCTGTCTGCATCCATCTGTTTGCCTGCCTTGAACCTTTCTATGTTCCTGGGAGAGGGAGGCAGGTTGTAGCCAGGGCCATCTGTGTTCCATCGTGCTGGGGGGAATTTCTCTTGTCCCCACCACCATGTCCTGCTTTTTCCCAGCATGGCACCCACCCTCTGCTGGAGGCACCTGGATTCCACATTCTGTGCCCTAGAAATAGCTGCTGATGCCAGTTCTGGTGTCGGCTGCACTGGGGGTGGAGTCAGAGCCTGGCAGACGCCTTGTGTGGGGTGGGGGTTGGAGAGATGGCAGTTCAAGTGGTGTTTGTACATGGCTTTCCAAGGCTTTTTGTTTCTCTTTGTGGGATGGGGGGGCTGACAACCCCCCAGCCATCCAGCCGTTGGTCCAGAGGAGGCTTAATTTAGGGCTAGGAATTTTGGGATCACCTGTGAGTAGGGATGTAACTATTTAACCAGTAAGCATCCCCCTTATTAGATGATGCTTATCAGTAACTGGTTAGCCATCAGTGTGCACAGGCAGGGGGCCGCTCCAGACTGGTCTGCCGCTCCACAGGGGATCCCAGTTAAGTGGTTAACTGGGACTTAACATCCCTAGCTATTGGATGAGGGTGCTGCATCTCTTTTCTTTTCCCCCTTCTCTCTTGGGCAGGGGCAGGATTTCCCCTGATGAAGAACTCTCATCCCAGCCCTGCAGGTGCCTTGATGTGGCTGCTCTGTATTCACGAGGAAAGTGCTGTTCTCGGGTTTGTGAGTGTCTCATGTGCCTCCTGCCTCCATCATCCAAAGGCAGGCGCATCTGTTCTCTCCCATGACCCAGTCCTTTAATATTCCCAAAGGGACAGTGCCTGCTGCTCTCCTTGAGACTTTTTGGTTGCTGATGTTCCTTCCAGAGCCTCTTCAGCCCTCGGGCTGCAAGTGCCACACGCACACAGCTGGCATTTGCAGTGCAGTCTAATAGAATAAGCCAGTTGTCTTAATCCACTTATCGGTTATGATCCAATAAAGCCTGCAGCTCTGGCTGGGAGTGAAGTGTGTGTGTGCTTAATAAATCTCCCCTGTTTCAACTGCCCTCTTTAATCTGCCTCTGTCACTTGCATAGAAACCGCAAGGAGGAATTAAGGGAGCTGCCTGCTGCTCCCCGACCCTTTCAGACTGAGCGACTTTGAAGCCTCAAACCCCAGTGCTGGGAGTTAGGGCATAGTTAGATTTTCTCCAAAAGACGTTTGTGTGACATGAAAAGAAAGGCCACTCGTGCGGAGACACCGACACCTTGTCCTGTCTGCCTTCAGTAATGGGGAATACTTACCTACCTGGCAAGGAAACTAACTGCCGAAAATTGCTTTGTGCGTCTTTAGGCCTTTCCTTGTGCATGTGAAACTGGCCACACAAAGGAAAGGCAGCACAGTGTGAGCTGTCAACCCCCAGCAGCAACCTTCTCCCCCACCTGTGCTAGGGCTGCTGCTCAGACCCTGCCGAGAGTCCGGTTGGACTGTAAGGAGGGGTTCTGTCCCAATGGGGTTACAATGATTCTCCTTATCCGCTGAGGATAGGACAAGCAGCAATGGGCTTAAGTTTCAGCAAGGGAGGTTTTGGTTGGACTTTAGGAAAAACTTCCAAGGGATAAGGGATCTTTCAGAAAAGGCTTTATTTTCCGCAAGATCTGCGTCTAGACTGGCGCTTTTTTCCAGCAAAGCTCCGTACCGGAAAAAAGTGGCAGCCATTTTTATGCTAATGAAGCGGGGGAGATTTAAATCTCCGCTTCATTAGCAATTGCGATACGTCTAATTTGCATCCCTTTTACGAAAAAGGGATGCAATCTAGACATAGCCAGGGTGTTTAAACGCTGGAATAAATTGCCTAGGGAGGTTGTGGAATCTCCATCTTGGAATGTTTTTAAGAACAGGTTAGACAAACATCTGTCAGGGATGGTCTAGATGGTGCTTGGTCCTGCCGTAAGTGTAGGGGACTCTCACCCCTCTGTCTTTACTGCCTTGTTTGATTTTTTTTTTTTTTTTTTTTAAATGGAGTTCTTGAGAGGAGTCAACTAGGTTTGAAACAAACTTAGCTGCAGCCTTAGCTGGAATTGAAGCTCTGTTTGTGGAAGCATGATGCCCCTCTCTGGAGTCAGCAGCAGGGGTGAACGGGGACCTTCACCTTTCTCTCTGGAATTAAGACCCTTTGCAAATGGCTTATCCAGCAAATAGGATTCCTGATTTTCACAAAGAGATGTGCAAAGCAGCTGGTACAGAGGCAGCATGTAGCGTTCACATGCTTATCCATTCATTTGCGTAGCCTTTAGCAATGAGGCTGCAATATTGGAGTCTAATTAAAGTGACCTTGTGCAGTCTCCATTATCTTATCGGTAGCACAGGGAGATTGATAGTTACCAGTCCCCGAGGCCGGGCTGGGTCAATAAAAACTGTTGCAATGTGTGCAAAAACATTAATAACAGCTGGGGGAAGACTGAATGAATGGTCTTCTCGCTCGCAACCCCCTGCTCCTTCACCCAGCGATCTGGATACACGTGGGGGTGGAGTAAGCTTCCAGCAGAGCCATTCCCCTGGGATAAGTTCCATATGGATCCTGCTGGTATGTTCTTCCCCCTCTGGCTTTTTTTAAAAAAAGTTGAAATTCTACAATGGGGTTAGGGTGGGGGTGAGGGAAAGGGTCTATGAGATAATGATATTAGAGGTGATAACCGTCATTGGACCTAACCATGTCAGTTACAAGATCAAGAACACATGTTCCTGTTCATCCAGAAATATAATTTATGCCATCATGTGCCAAAAGTGTCCGTCTGCTATGTATACAAACTTCTCAGACACTTCGCCAAAGAATCAATGCACACACAATAGGCATCAGACCGTTTCACAAAGAAAAAACGGTTTCTTGCCATTTCAGCCAGACTGGTCATTGTCTCAATGACCTCACTACGTACATCCTGCTTCAAAGAGACTTTAACACCAGACTACAAAGGGAAGCCTCAGAACTGTTATTCATGCTTAAATTTAACACTATGAATGGGCCTTAACAGAGATGCTAATTATCTTACCCATTACAAAGATAGCTTCCCCAATTATCACCCCTAATATTATCTCATAGACACTAACCTCCCCCCTCACCCCTCCTCTGTTCTAAAATCTGATTTGTCAATTTTATGTGTTCACTTTTTTTGATTGTATCTCTGGTATATATGGTCATGCCAATTTTCTTCCACAATTTGATCTGAGGAAGTGGGTCTGGCCCAGGAAAACTCATCACCTAATAAACCATCTTGTTAGTCTTTAACGTGCTGCATAGTCCTGTCTTTTCTAACTGTCAGGGTGGTTAAACACTGGAATAAATTGCCTAGGGAGGTTGTGGAATCTCCATCTTGGAATGTTTTTAAGAACAGGTTAGACAAACATCTGTCAGGGATGGTCTAGATGGTGCTTGGTCCTGCCGTAAGTGTAGGGGAC